TGTCATGCATTCTTTCCAAAAATCTGGACTTTTAAAAAATGCCGTGGGACGTGGGGAAAATTGTTAAAAATCAGGACCATCCCTCCAAAAGCGGGACCTCTGGTCACCTTAATGTAAAGGCATTTAGCCGTGTAGATCTTGGAAAGCTATGGATAACATTGAGAAGAATGGGAATTCTAGAACACTTAATTGTGCTCATACAGAACCTCTGCCTAGAGACAGTCATATGAACAGAGCAAGGGGACTCTCTGTGGCTTCAAACCAGGCAATGTGTGCACCGGGCTTGTGCCCTTTTTCTATGCTTACTCCATCCGTATTCTGAGCAAAGAAACCCAGAGCTAGGCTCATTCAGCATCAGGTTGGGGGAAGGCTCAGGACAGCCTCTGATATGCAGATGGCACCGCCTTGCTTGCTGGAAGCCAGGAGGACTAGCAGCAGCCTAAAGAAAACAAAAATAGAACTGGGCCCGTAAACCGCATTATGACAAATGGAGAAAAGATGAAAGTTTTCAAGCATTTCGTTTTATTTGGATCCACAATCAGTGCTCATGGAAGCTGCGATCCCAGGACGCATTTCATTGGGTCAATCTGCTGCACAAGACCTTTAAAGTGTTGAAGAGCAAGGATGTTACTTTGAGGACTCAGGTGTGCCTGACCCAAGCCATGGTATTTTCCATTGCCTCATATGCGAGTGGAGCCCCGGTGGCATAGTGGTTACGAGGTAGGCTGCTAACCGCAAGGTCAGCAGTTTGAAACCACCAGCTGCTCCTTGGGGAAAACACCAGGCTTTCTACTCATTAAGAGTTACAGGACTGTCCTGTCTCCCTAATTCACCATCTGATCTCCCGTGCCTAGGAGGTGACTGAAAATACTGTGGAGTGGGTCAGGCGCACCTTAGCTCTCAAAGTACCATCCTTGCTTTTCAACACTTTAAAGGTCTTGTGCGACAGATTGACCCAATGAGATGTAGCGTTTGATGGCTGCTTCCATGAGCATTGATTGTGGATCCACGCAAGATGAACTCCTTGACAACATTTTTTCTCTGTTTATCATGATGGTGCGCATTGGTCCAGTTGGGAGGATTTTTATTTTCTTCATATTGAGTGGTAGCCAATGCTGAAGGCTGCAATCCTTGATCTTCATCAGCAAGTGCTGCAAGCCGCCCTCACTTTCAGTAGGCAAGGTTGCGTTAACGAAGGTTGTTAATGAGGCCCCCTCCAATCCTGATGGCCACAATCTTCTTCATTTAAGCCAGCTTCTCTGATGACTTGCTCGGCATACAGATTGAATAAGTATGATGAGAAGTTATAACCCCGATACACATTTTTCCTGGTTTTAAATGATGCATATTCCCTTGTTCTGTTTGTACAACTGCCTCTTGATCAAGTTCCACATCACGGTGAAGAATTCTGGGAGTCCTATTCTTCTCAAGGCTATCCATAGTTTATTATGGTGCACCTAGTCAAATGCTTTTACAGAGTCAATGAAACACGAGGAACCATTTCTGGTATTCCCTGCTTTCAGTCAACATCCATCTCACATCAGCAATGATAGCCCTTGTTCCATGTCCTCTTCTGACTCTGGGCTGAATTTCTGGCAGCTCCCTGTCAATGTACGAGTGCTGCAACCATTGCTGGATGATAATCATCAGCAAAATCTTACTTGTGTGTGATAGCAATGATATTGTTCAATAATTTGTGCATCTTATTGGGTCACCTCTCTTTGGAATGGGTACAGATATGGATCTCTTCCAGTCAGTTGGTCAGGCAACTGTCTTCCAAATTTCTTGGCATACAAGAGTGCTTCCGGTGCTTCCTCAGCTTGTCGAGACCTTTCAGTGGCTGTGCCATCAGTTCCTGGAGCCTTCTGTTTGACTCATGCCTTCCGTGCAGCTTGGACGTCTTCCTTCAGGACCATTAGTTCTCTTTTTAAAAAATCATTTTATTAGGGGCTTGTAGTATTAAATTAAAAAATGACGCCAAGGGAGGTGGGGGACCAGCCCCCACCGCTAGTACTCCTATTACTACTACTCGGATTCAGTAATGCACAATTGTACGGTTGAGATATATAAGCATTATATTAAAGTCATCGAGAGCATGAGAGATAATACAATAATACAGTCAGGCATGTTACATGATAGCATTGCTTACCTCCGCCCAGCTTAGTGGTCCACGTGGAGAGAGGGGGAAGGGAAGGAGGGCAAGGGAGCAAGGGAGAGGGGGAAAAGAGTCAGGGAGGTCTGAGTCTGAGAGTTCTATATTGCTGACTCATGCCTATATAACTTTTGGGGGCATGCCAGCCCACTAATTACAGGTAAAGACATACGTCACAGGGAGGGGTTGCACTATAGAGTACACAGCAATGAGAGGGTGGTCTAGGAGGTGGCCTCTGGGTCTCCATAGGAACCATTATCAGTAGGGTGCAAACCCCTCCTACAGGAGCCTGTCTAATGGCCTTAGGATCCAGAGAGAGGTAACCCATTGTCTCTAGCAGCAGGGAGTAGGGCTAGTGCAGCCTGGCAACTGATCGCCCTCAGTGGAGGGAATGCCTGCGCATCTGACCTCCCCCCACAGGGGCTTATACAACTTTTATTACAATCCATGCACACATCAATTGTGTCAAGCACGTTTGTACATCCCTCATCATTCTCAAAACACTTGCTCTCCACTTAAGCCCCTGGCATCAGATCCTTATTTTTTTTCCCTCCCTCCCCCCTCCCTCATGAACCCTTGATAATTTATAAATTATTATTTTGTCATATCTTACCCTGTCCAAAGTCTCCCTTCACCCACTTTTCTGTTGTCTGTCCTCCAGGGAGGAGGTCACATGTAGATCCTTGTAATCAGTTCCCTCTTTCCAACCCATCTTCCCTCTACGCTCCTAGTATCACCACTCACACCACTGGTCCTGAAGAGATCATCCGCCCTGGATTCCCTGTGTCTCCAGTTCCTGTCTGTACAGTGTACATCCTCCGGTCTAGCCAGACCATTGGTTCTTGATCAGTGGTACCTCTTGAAATGGTTGCATGTCGTCTAGTTCTTTTTGATGCAGGGACTGTGCATTCCTTCCATCTTCTTTCGATGCTTCCTGCATCATTCAACAGTTTATGCATAGAATCTTCCTATATTGCAACTCCAGGCTTGAATTTTTTTAGTTCTCTCAGTTTCAGTTATGCCGAACGCGTTCTTTCCTTTTAGATGTTCTACGTCTTGGTCTTTGCACGTCTCGCGATAATATTTTTCTTCTTAAGCTGACCTTTGATGTTTTCTATTCAGCTCTTTGGCATCATTTCTCCCATTTGCCTGAGCTACTCTGTGATCAAGAAAACATTTCAGTCTCTTCTGACATGCACGGGGTTCCTTTCTTTCTTGCCTGTTTTTTTAATGACTTTTTGCGTTCTTCGTGTATGGTGTTCTTGATGTCCCCCCACAGCTCATGTTGTCTGTCATTGGTGTTCAATGCATTAAAACTGTTCTTGAAACTCATGTGGAAGATACTCACGGTCATATTTTGGCTCTCATGGACTGGTTTTAATTTTCTTTAGCTTTGATGGTGCCCGGCTATCAAAAGATATAACATCTGGGGTCTTAAAGGCTTGAAGGTAAGCAAGAGACCATCTAGCTCAGAAGCAAGAAAGCCCACATGGAAGAAGCACACCAGCCTGTGTGATCATGAAATGCCGAAGGGATCAGTTATCTGGCATCAAAGAACAAAAAATCATATCATTGTCTGCTCACCTCCATGATACGATCACTGAAGACAAATGGGTGCATAAGCACATGTGGAGAAGAAAGCTCATGGTGCCCAGCTATCAAAAGATATAGCATCTTGGGTCTTAAAGGCTTGAAGGTAAACAAGCGGCCATCTAGCACAGAAGCAACAAAGCCCACATGGAAGAAGCACACCAGCCTGTGCGATCACGAGGTGTCGAAGGGATCATGTATCAGGCATCATCAGAACAAAATTGTGAATGAGAGGGACTAGTGTGGAGTGGAGACCCAAAGCCCATTTATAAGCCACTGAACATCCCCTTACAGAAGGGTCTCAGGGAGGAGACGAGCCAGTCAGGGTGCGATATAGCAACGATGAAACATACAACTTTCCTCTAGTTCCTAAATGCTTCCTCCCCATCCACTATCACGATCCCAATTCTACCTTACAAATCTGGCTAGACCAGAGGATGTACACTGGTACAGATAGGAACTGGAAACACAGGGAATCCAGGGCGGATGATCCCTTCAGGATCAGTGGTAAGAGTGGCAGTACCAGGAGGGTGGAGGGAGGGTGGGGTGGAAAGGGGCAACCGATTATAAGGATCTACATATAACCTCCCTGAGGGATGGACAACAGAAAAGTGGGTGAAGGGAGATGTCAGACAGTGTAAGATATCACAAAATAATAATTTATAAATTATCAAGGGCTCATGCCGGGAGTGGGGAGGGAGGGGTGAATAGCTGATGTCAGGGGCTTAAGTGGAGAGCAAATGTGTTGAGAATGATGAGGGCAACAAATGTGCTTTACACGATTGATGTATGTGTGGATTGTGATAAGAGTTGTATGAGCCCCAAATAAAATGATTAAAAAAATTTTTTTTTCTTCAGCTTTAACCTGAACTTACATAGGAACAGTTGATGGTGTGTTCCACAGTGGGTCCCCGGGCCCCATTCTCACTGCTGACATTGAGCTGCTCCATGGCCTCTTCCCACAGACGTAGCCAGTTTGATCTTTGTGTCTTCCGTTTGGAGAGATCCACGTGTATAGTCACCGTTTGTGTTGTTGACAAAAGGTGTTTGGGAAGAGAAAGCCATTGGGAAAATTTCATTCTCTTTCAATTCCACGTGTCCATGAACTTTCTGAAGCCACCTGGCCTCTCTGGCTTTAAAGATGTTTAGGGAAGGGCCACCGCCATTGGTTTCATAAGCCAGATCCGGGCATCTAATTAAATAGGCCATCCCTTGTTGAAATAAAGTCTGACTTCCTTGTTTCTGACTTTTATTCTAGTCAAAGAGGAAGTTAGTGCTGTGTCTCTCTGTCCAGCCAAGCCCTCCCCCAGCTACATTGATCTTCAAGCCAGTTCCCCAGGAGACACACCCGTGAATACCCAGAGCAGAAAGCTACTTTCAGGTGAGGATGCAGGCAAGCCTTCCAAACTGGGCTCAGCATGGGGATGGGTGGCATGGAGGGAGGTGCCCCGGACTTTCTCCTGTTGCTCCCAAGGCACCTCCAGATCCCACCCCCAGTCCGCCACGCCCCACCCATTGGCAGCTTGTCTATAGTTCCATTGATTGAATCTTCTTCCTGGTTCTACCCATTTATATTCTGTTCCTGCTTATTAGCTAGACTAAGCAGAAGTGCAGTGAAACTCTTGTATGCTTGCTAGTGGTGTTAGTGGGAAGGTAGTCAGGGAAGGAAATGATGGCCATTTGGTCTGTCTCAGTTTCTTTGAATTTCACTCACTCATCTTTCTCTTGGGGAGTCAGGCGTATTTGGCAGTTCTGTAGGAAGCTTAACAGAGCGTTGGTCAGTCATGAAGGTGCACTTCCTGGTGATCCCTCCACCTCTGAGGGAGAAAAATGAGACTTTCTGTTCCCGTAAAGAGCCCACGGGGCTCATATTGTACTCCATCCTACAGGGCCGACCTGAGTCAGAATCCACTCCATGGCAGGGAGTGAATCCTAACCCCTGTTATTTATTGCTTTATTGGTTTGGGTTTTTTGAGGAGTCCAGGATTTAACAAAGAAATTGGAACCAGTAACTATACAAACAATAGGTTCTGCAGTTACCAGGGCTACCTACGAGCTGGCTGTGCACAGGATATTTGAACCCATTGGGGAAAAGTGGGTTGATACACTAGGAGTAGTTGAAGTTAGCTGAAAGGAATAACTTAGCTCACTGTCAATGAAACACTCTGTTTATCTAAAAGCAGTTGAGGCATCTCCTGAGTTCTCTTTTAAATTTATGATTAATTGGGAGTTAATGCATGGGTCATTCCATAGTTCAGGCACATCAAGCACAATTGTACAGTTGCCACCACAAGCCGTTTCCAAACATTCTTTTTCTTCCTGGACCCTTTGACATCGTCTCCCTTTTATCCTACCCTACCCCCACCCCCACCCCACCCTCCACACCCCATCACTATACCCACTGCCGAAACCCTGATTCTACTTGCTGTCCCTATAGGTTCATCAGTCCTGGGGTTCAGACACCGAAACACACGAAAACATATAACACAACTTCATGAAGGTGACTTCCAATGACAGAACACCTCTGAGATACACCCTAATGTGAACAAACAAAAACAAAAATACAGAAAATGTTGCATACCAGATCAGGTCCAGCATGCATCAGAGGGGAGATCAACTAGCAAAGCTTTAACTGTTGGAGTCAGATTTGTCCCATAGATCTTCTGCGGTCAGTCATCTCTCCAGCGCACTCTGTTTAGTAAGGCCTTTCCTCCCATCCCTCAATCATGGACAGAGGGAGATCACTGGAGGGTTATTCCCTATGCGGTGCTCACACATGTATCTTGGGTTCCCACTGTCACCCACAGCCTTCTGCAAATCCCGGTTCTCACAATTTAGGCTCTGATACTAATCCCTCCTTTGCCTTCGGATGATATGATTTACAGTCCTTTGGTGACTGATGATGGTGTGCTTCTTCCATGTGGACTTAGTTGACATCTCACTTAGATGCTTTAAGACCCCAAATGCTATTTTATCTGATAGGCGGGCACCATCTACTTTCTTTGCCACATTTTGCTATCGCACCCGTCCCCTCTGTGTTCCCTTCCCGAGGGTGAGTATCGAGCAGGTCCCTGATGTAAGAACTACTTGTTGTTAAGTTTCTCCCGAGTTCTTAAGAGGGAGGTTAGACTTTGCTCCCCGGCCATTTCACACAGTCATCAAATACTCACTAGACACACGTATGTGCTGGCACGGCCACCGAACCACACAGAGGCCGTCACGGACCTCCTCTGGCTCCCCTGATTGCCACGAGGCAGGCTCAGACACATGCCTGCACGCTCCCTCCTCCTTCATCTATTCTGACACCCACCCACGCTACGCCCGTTGTAATGACCACACAGAACTCGCAGACAAACTCACAATTGTGGGTGTTTATTAGGAAAGATAACAGGCTCCCACAGTGAGGATCGGCAAACAGCAAGGATTCAGTCACTGGTCCACTGCAGGGCCTCTGCTCCGCCAGCAGCCAGTCTCCCTCCCTGAGGACTCAGCTTCTCCACCATGTGGTCCTTTGTCTTCTGCCTCTGTAGTGCAGGAAGCCAGCTACCTGTGCCTCTGTGTCAGAGCCCCATGAGCAGAAGGTGCCCCATCCTCTCTATGCCACAGCCTGGTGCTCTGATCCTGGACATGCTCTTCAAGGTGGTCCTGGGGTTTCCCTGTGTCCCAGGGGCTCTCATGCACTGAGGGATGGCTGTGATGAAGGTGTGGTCTTGGTCTTTTAGCTGGCCACATCCCCAAGGAAAACGAAGCCCCCCCCCCCTGTAGTAAAGTAGTCTTTAAGGTGCCCCTAAGGAAACAAAGGGTATGAGTTGGTTCACACCCACTCCCAAGGTCAAGACTCCACCCCACCTTGATCCTGTAACAGAGAAATGGGACCGCGGCCACAGCAGAGCGTCCAGAATTCAACTATGTGGCACCAGGGATTGTGGCTAGAAGGGCTGTTACCAGACTAGAGTTAGGTACTGAGAGCACAGCCGCACGGAGACACAAACAGGCCGATCTGGGTGGGGATGGGCCAGGACGGAGGCGAGGGGTGATCTCATTAGAGCCCTTCTCCCCTCAGTACAATGACGAAGCCTCTCCTCTTTGTCCCCCTCCCCCCCACTGCTCTTCCTTCAGGAGTTAAGCCCCGGTCCAAGGAATGCATAGGACTCCTAGAATGTATGTATGCCAATCTCCAGCTTCAAACCCAGCTGGTCCAACAACAGATGGCCATTCTGGAAAATATACAAGCCTCCATGGCACAGGTGGCTCCTGGGAGGGAAAGCACGCCCTCTCTCCCGGCTGTGTCTGGTAGTCTGCTTTTAGATCAGCTGCCCCAATTCAATAAATGAACTGTGGAACAGGGTTGTGTGGACTCTGCCCTTCCTCTGCCCACAGTAAATGTCTGGTGGAACTGGGGCACGTCCTCCACATTATGGCTCGCTTAGTCACAGGTTCATGTAACAGGTGCTCCTTGGGGACAAAACATTTGGGAATGCGTAGGACAGAAGCCACAGCGGTGGGGGGGTTCCTGTCCAGCAGGGCCATCAATGAGTGTGCTTTGAGTGAGGGCGAGAGTTCTGAGAGCAGGGTGGAGGTGTGTGAGCTACAATGAGCCTGGATCCGTCGGGGAATCTTGCTGGAGGATATAGGCTTAGGAAGGTATTTGGAGAGGGGGTGGGATTGGGTGGCATGAGCATATGGAGTTAAATAGTTATGGATCAGGGAAAGCTTGGATAAAGAACTCAAACGAGGAGGATACGCCATCAGAATGACGGGGGCAGGAGGAGGGGGAGGTGGAATGAAGAACGGAGAACAGACAGGACCCCTCTCCCTGAAGAGGGTCTCTGGGAGCAGCTCCCGGAAGCTCTGTTTTAGGTTTGGAGAGGCCTCGGCAGCCTGCGGGTGGCTGTGGTACATGTGAGGGACTAGAAACACAGCGGGCAAAACATTTTAGGGCTCCGGGGTGGAGGAGAGGCCACCTTGCTTCTGCCAAGGCCCTTTGGGTGTTTATAGCATCATCCAAGGGCCATACTGGTCAACGTTGAGTGAACGCGCCCCTGTGCAAGGGCGGGAGCGGCTTCCCTTTGGCGAGGTCTGTGATGTCAGCTGGCATGGATGGTTTCCTGAGCCTCGTTCGGCCCACAGACATCGGCCACCCCTGTTTTCGGATGAGAGAGAACGGAAGCCAAGAGGCCCGAAGAAAGAACTAATGGGAATCTGATGTAAAGCTACCATGGTCTGGAGAAAAGATTCTGCCATGGAGACAGGACGGGGCCTTCTGAGCAGAGGTAGTCGGACGTGAGTTTAGTTTTAATGAGGCTCAGCTCCAACCCGAGGCTTCCCGTGTTTGAGGAGACACCCGAGGTTGGCCCAGCCGCTTGAGACCTGGTAGATGCTCGCTGTCTCTTACAGTTCGTTGGCAGTCTCCTCTGGAGGTCCAGTCCTCTTCCCACTGACCACGTGAGGCCCTCTTTCCCTGGGGAAGGGCGAGAAGGTGGAAGGAGGGTCTGGCTGGAGTACTGCGGGGCGGAGGGAGAGAAGCAGTCCCTGGGGGAGAACTTGAGGTTGGCCTGCAGCTCTGTGATAGGGTTTTCAGAGACCCTTTTCTTCTGTACCATTGGTGGGAGGCAGGGTGGGTGCTGGGGGAGACCCAGCAGCTCGGAATGACAATGGAGCTTGAGAAGCTGCCCAGGGAAAAAGAGAAGGCGGTCATGGCCATAATTCTCAAGGAGAGAGATTCCCATGTCTGTGGATTCATCTGGACCTGACTGTGCTTGGAGGAAGGACCCCTGGTGGTGTAGTGAATTAAGCCTTGCCCACTCCCCCCCCACTGAAAGGTTGGTGGTTCGAAGTCACCTGCGGCTCTGTGGGCGTTCAGATGAGGCTGTCTACTTCTGTAAAGATGGACAGCCTCAACGAAAAAGATTTAAAAGATTGGCAGCCTCGCAAACCCTACGAAGCAGTTCTACCTTGTCCTGTAGAGTTGCTTTTGAGTTAGAATCGGCTGTGAGGGGTGGGGGTAGGGGGATGTCACGTCAGGCAAAGGGAAGTTAGGTCTGGAAATCTGTCTCATCCTTTCATCATTTGCATCAAAATGCAACATTTAACTAAAACTAGGGAACTGGGTGTCCTGTTCCCTTGGCTAGTCACCTCCATGCCTAGTTCATCTGAAAGCCACCTTGCTGAAAAGGCCTAGACCAGCGGTTCTCAACCTGTGGGTTGCGACCCCTTTGGGGGTCAAACAACCTTTTCACAGGGATCGCCTAAGACCATTGGAAAACACACAGATATTTCACAATATATGACTACATATTGTTTGGTGCTTAATCACCATGCTTTAATTATGTTCAATCATGTTCATCCTGCGTATCAGATATTTACATGATGATTCATAACAGTAGCCAAATGACAGTGATGAAGTAGCAATGAAAATAATGTGATGGTTGGGGGTCACCACCACACGAGGAACTGTGTGAAAGGGTCGCGGCATCAGGAAGGTTGCGAACCACTGGCCTAGGCAGACCAGCTCAAAAGCAACACCCCTGGCGCCCACTCAAAGGAGTAAAGTTCCCAATAAAGGAAGCAGAGGTCCCTGCAGGGGGTGGCGGTTCCAGCTCTCGCATGGGGAAAAGTGCAAGATGAGCCAGACCATCTCCCTGTTGGATAGGAGTGCCAGCCACACCGCAGAATCAGGAGAACCCACAGTCATTCCGGAGAGCTCGCCCTTTCAGTCTAAGGAAAGAAGGACCTGCTTGCTACCCCCTAGTCACAGCCTCGGAAACTCAAGAGGGGCAGGTCTGCCCTGCCCGGTGGGGCTGCTCGGAGCGGGCCTTTGGAACCGTCTGCATGGCAGTGAGTTTCAGGATGAAGGCTTCTCTTCCTGCCGCCGAGCCTCACGGAGGAGAGGTGTCCCCGAGGGTTCCTTCGCAGGCTGAGATGTTGCGAGGGCAGATTCACCAGATATGGTGGGCTCTAATTGCTGGCCTTTTAGGAAGCTGGCCATTTCACCCTGGGGCATGACCATCAAGCCCACTCCAACTGGTCGCAGTGACCCTGCAGGGCAGCGTGGGACCCCCCCCTCTGAGTTTCTGAGGCTAAACTATTGATGGAGGTAGAAGCCCTCCCCTTTCTTCATAGAACCGCTGCTGACTTCAAACTGCCGAGGGCGCAACCACCACGCTACCGAGCTCCTCCGCCGCAGAACTCTGATGTCCACAGAATGGAAGAGCATGCACCAATAAAAAGGAGCAAATTGCTGATGACATGCAGAAACACGATTGGATCTCAAAAGCATTAAACCGAGTGACGCGCTTACATTAAAGAGCACACTTTATCTCATTCCATTTATTTGCAGCTCTAGACCAGGCAATATTAATCTACAGTGGAAATATTAATCCAAGTATGTTTTTTTTTAATCATTTTATCAGGGGCTCATACAACTCTTATTCACAATCCATACACACATCAATTGTGTAAAGCGCATTTGTACATTCATTGCCCTCATCATTCTCAAAATATTTTCTCTCCACTTAAACCCCCGGCATTAGGTCCTCATTTTTCCCCTCCCTCCCCTCCAAGTAAGTATTAACCCAAGGAGGAACATATAAAAACCCAACGGTTGCCCTTAGGGATGGGGTGGGACTGGAGCTTGACTGGGAAGGGGCACAGGGAACAGGAAGGCTCTAGAGCCGGATGGAAAGAGGTTTGTGTTACACAGGTGCATGCTATCTGGACGGGAGCGGGAAGGCAAGGGCTGGGCAGCCCCACAAGACGGAAAGCAAGCCGGAACAAAAGGCGCAGGATAAGACAACCGGCCCAGGAAGTGAGCCCCGACGATCCTCCTCGAAATGACCAGACCCCATCTGCTGATTGCCACACATCCCCGTCAGTCTTCACCACCCCTCTAAAAACCCCGCGTCCCGGCTGCTGGGCGCGCTTCCCCGGCTGCTCATCCGGGACTTCTTTTTTTCTAATAAAGAGCTGTTCCAGCCTCGTTTTCTTTCTTTCTTTGTCCTCATGCCTCCATTTGTTTCCCGCTCACATGCATTTGTGAGACGGCAGCATCAGATGGTACACGCGAGATGGGTGCGTTTCACTGGATGTGAACCTTAAACAGAACTCCACACAAATACTGAATTCTAGTTAGTATTTGCAGAGTGGCACCGCAAAGGGTCTAGGAGTAATGAGTACAGTGCCTGCAGCTCACTCTGCAAGGCATCCAAAAACAAGATGGACGGCGGGATGGAGGAGGTCTGGCAGGTGACAAAACCCGCAGAGGACCCTGTAGAGCTTTGTTCATATTTATATGCTTTCACTGGGAAAATATCAAATTGTTCTACTTGAAACTTTTCAGAATAAAATGCTGAAAATAAGGGGCCTTAAAAGACACAAGTAGATACAGGGACATGCACAGGTGTCCTGGCTTGCCTCAAAGCGGCATGGGTGGAAAGGAGTCTTAAGTAGGCCGGGGAAGGGTGAAATAAAATTGGTCACCTCTGGCTAATTAAGGTCTCCGGATATCACACATGCTTTGTGCTTAGCAGCTCTCCGTGAGGCTGCACCCAGTGGCACCTTGTTAGAAGGTCTGGCTGCCTGCCTTTATCAAGATCACAGCCAAGCAAGTCGGTGAGGCTCAGCTCTGCCCGTAACACATGGGTTTAGATGGTTAATTGTTCCATCTGGGTAATATTTTTCTCTCTCGCTCTTTATATATTTGAAACTTAACATAATAAAAAGATGTTTAAGAATCTGACATTTTAAAAGTTTAAAACTAAAGCAGAAATGAAAAATTGAAGAACAAAAGTGTTCCCACAACCCCCAGACCCTGTCTTCACATAAATCCAGAAAGCAATGTCGATATCAGCATACATTTGAATATTCATTTATGGGTTTTTTGCGGGGGTCTATTTTATACACGTTTAACAAATTACTGCAAACCTCATGGCTTAAAATAGCGCAGATTATCTCACAAGCTCTGAAGATCAGAAGTTGGGCCCCTGTCTCAGAGGACTAAAAGCAAGTGTCAGCAGGGCTGCCTTCCTTTCTGGAGGGTCTAGAAGAGAATCCATCTCCTTGCCTTTTCCAGCTTCTTTCTAGAAGCCCCCTGCTCTGTCTCCAGAGCCTTTGATGTGGTGCATTTCCTCTGCAGTCCCTCCTCCACACTCTAAACCCTGGGTGATTGCATTGGGTCCCCCTGCATTATCCTGGGTAGGCTCCCTGTTTGCAGCCTTATTTATCTACAGCCTAAAGTCCCCTCTGCCATGTCATGTCGCCCACTGTAGGGATAGGCTCGGTAGCTCATAGTGTAGGCTCAGTAGCTAGACTCCACTGGTGTTCTACCAAATGGCCAGTGGTTGTG